ATTCTTTACTTTTACTGATGAGTAGTATTCCATGGTATTGATGGACCACAGTTTGTTTAACTACTCATCCACTGAAGAACATCTGGGTAGTTTCCAAGTTGGGGCTAATACAAATAAAATTGCTGTGAACGTTCACGTACAAGTTTGTGCGTGAAAATAAGCCTTAATTTTTTAAAGATAAGTTCCCAAGAGTGCAATTGCTGGCATCCTACTTTTGTAGCCTCATTTTCCCAAAATTCCATTCCTGCTCCCATTTTGTAGCCAAACAGGACTACTTGTACTGTTTCCTCTTTCTCTCTGGTTTCTAATCCTCTCATCATCGTTTGCATACTTATTATTAAAAGCTGCCATAAATCACTTTTTGAAAGTGGATGAAGAAATAAATTAATATAGACAGAGAACAGAGATGAATGAATGGAGGGAAAAAATAAATAAGAGATGATATAGTATTTTTATCAATCCTGTCCCAATAAAATGTGATCTCTTTCCTATAAACCTTATTTGCTAAACTTCTCTTATAAAATGTATGTTCTTCCACAGTCTCATAGATGCATACATGCTCTATACTTCCATTAAAACAGCAAACTCCCTGGAGACAGATCATTTCTTATTAATTTTATATTCACTCAGGCACCAAGCACAGTGTTTCTGTTACAGCAGGAGCTCAAGCAAAACAGAATCTTCATTGTTGAAGGAATTAATTAATTAAATATCTTTGCCCTAAGAGGCCTCCAGTCTAACCAGGAAACCAGGATGTTCTATTTGCACGAAAAAAGAGAGCTAATAGGGGCCAGCCCGGTGGCACAAGCGGTTAAGTGCGGCACTCCACTGCAGCGGCCCGGGGTTCCCGGGTTTGGATCCCGGGCGCACACGGATGCACCGCTTGGCAAGCCACGCTGTGGCGGCACCCCATATAGAGTGGAGGAAGATGGGCACGGATGCTATCCCAGGGCCAATCTTCCTCAGCAAAAAAAGAGAAGGATTGGCAGATGTTAGCACAGGGCTGATCTTCCTCACGAAAAAAAAAAAGCTAATAATACAAGTCTATAAAGGAGAAGTGCCAAAGGATAATGGAGCAAAAAGTGTTACAGAAGTGCAGACAAGTGAGCAATCCTTTCTGTGACACTTGGGGGATTCTTTTTAAAGAAGGCAATGTTTGAGAGAAAACTTGAACAGATGACTTGAACTCAGAAAAGTGAAAAGGGAGCCCTTTTCTGTAGCCATTATTTAAAGAACAACATACAGGTTGATCTCATTCTTTGTAGCTGCTGGATAATATTCCATAGCGTGAATGTGCCCAAATTTTTAAACCATTCTCCTAATAATGGACACTTAGGTTTGCATCACTTAGGATTAAGTTTGGATCCATGTTACAGAAAACCCAAATAAGAGTGTTGTAAACACAAGATACTTTATTTCTCTCTTGTGTCAACAAAGCCTAGACGTAGATAATTCAGGGTTGGTATGTGGACTCCATTGTCTTCAGATACCACTTTCCGTTTTTCAGCTCCACAACCTAGCACATGACTTCTTTTTCTAAGGTTGCCTCATGAGCCCAGCCAGTACATCTTGTTACAGGCAACTGGAAGGAAAGAGGAAAAACAAAATGGCGTATCTCCCACCTAAGCCAGCTCCCTTTATGCAGCCTTCCAGACATTTCAGACAATACTTTCAGTTCTATCTCATTGGCCAGAACTTAGTTACGTGACCATGCCTAGCTGCAAGGGAAGCTGAAAAATGTAGTCTCTTACATGAGTGCATTGCTCTCTCAAACAAAATTTAAGATTTTGTAACTAAAAAAGGATAATGGATATTGGGTAGCAGCCAGCACTGAGAGAGCAAAACTGAAGTCTTGCCCTGCCAATGAGTAAGCACACACGTCATCCTCTATAATCAGGAAAAAGAGGGGGAAAAAAAGGAACCACTTCACACCCTGACCCTGAAACAAACCAAAAAAAAAAAAAAAAGTATTACATCTGGTTCTAGTCCCTAAAAGGGAAGAAACCTTAATCCCATTTGTGTAAATTACTGACTCCTTAACAAAACAAATTTTTTCCCTGAAGTTTACAATATTCTTATGATAATCATGTTCATTTTCCACCATGAACAAACTAACTATAACCTTGTCACTCTGTGGGTTTTTACTTTAAATACCTGCTGTATTTTTTAATCAGCAAGCCAGTCCTGAATTTGGACTCCCTTGCAGAACTTTGCAAGTAAGCTATTTTTCTTTCTTAAACTATTTTTCCTTTTTTTGTTTTTTATTTTTGTGTGTGTGTGTGTGAGGAAGATCAGCCCTGAGCTAACATCCATGCTAATCCTCCTCTTTTTGCTGAGGAAGACCGGCTCTGAGCTAACATCCACTGCCAATCCTCCTCCTTTTTTTCCCCAAAAGCCCCAGTAGATAGTTGTATGTCACAGCTGCACATCCTTCAAGTTGTTGTATGTGGGACGCGGCCTCAGTATGGCTGGAGAAGCAGTGCGTCGGTGTGCGCCCGGGATCCAAACCTGGGCCGCCAGTAGCAGAGCGTATGCACTTAACCGCTAAGCCACAGGGCCGGCCCGTATTTTTCCTTTCTTAATGCTTCTGTGCCTCTCAGTCTGCCTTTCACAGCAGTCTCAGCCACAAGATTATTTCTAGTTTTTCACTATTATAAATCATACTGCAGTAAATAACTCGTAAATGCCTCCATGAATATATAATAACAATTTCTCAAACTTAAATATCTAAAAAAGCACTTGCTGAAACAAATGATAGGCACATTTTAAATATATTCTACCAAATTGCTATCCAAAGAGCTATACCAGTTTATATTCCCCCCACCATCATTATATGAGCATCCCTGATTTCCCAGACATCACTAACACATGAGATTATCACTTTTTATTTTTAGCAAATCGAATGGACAAAAAATGCCTCATTGTTGTTTCAACTTGCGTTTCCCTAATTACTATCTAAGTGGTAATTATAGTCTATTGAGATTGAACATCTTTATTATGTTTATTGGCCATTTGTATTAATTATTCTTTGAAATGTTGGTTATCTTCCGCCCATTTGGAATGTCTTCTTACTGATTTATAGGAGTTCTTGATATATTCTGGATATTAATCTTTTGTTATACATATTATTACTATTTTCTTCCAATCTATCACTTACCTTTTTACTTTGTTTATGATATCACTTATTTTACAAAGTATTAAACTTTGATGTAGTCAAATTTATCAGTAACTTCTTTTCTGACTTCTAGGGTTTTGTTTTGCTTTGAAAGACCTTCCCATCCCCAAATTACAAACATGTTATCTTCTAATACTTGTAGGATTTGCTTGTTATACTTAAACTACATGGAATTTATTTTCATATACGGTATGAGGTAGGATATTCTCTAATTATTTTGCTAAAGGGGTAACCAATTGTCCCAACACTATATATTGAATAATCTATTCATTCCCCTACTTTGAAATGTTATCTTTATCATATGTTAAATTATCACACAGAATTAAGGCTGTTTCTGAACTTTATTTTTCTGTTCTACAGATCCATCTGTCCATTTATACACCAATACTGCAAAGTTTTAATTACCAAAGCTCTATACTATGTTTTGATATCTGGTAAATCAGGCTCCTCCCTAGTGTACCTTAAAAAAAAAGAAAGGTTGGCTCTTCTCATAAATTTTCTCTTCCAGATGCATTTAAAAATCAACTTACCGGGGCCAGCCTGGTAGCATATTGGCCAAGTTTGCACGCTTCGCTTCAGCAGCCTGGTACTCACAAGTTCGGACCCCGGGCGCAAACCTACACACCGCTTATCAAGCCATGCTGCAGCAGGTGACCCACATACAAAATAGAGGAAGACTGGCACAGATGTTAGCTCAGCAACAAACTTCCTCAAGCAAAAAGGGGAAGATTGGCAACAGATGTTAGCTCAGGGCCAACCTTCCTCACCAGAAAAAAAAAAAAATCAATTTACTAAATTCCATTTAAAAATTATACAGAGATTTTTGATTGAGATTGCCTCAGATTTCTAGATTAGAGATTTCTTATTCTTTTTAAGAGCACTTGCATGTTTTCAAAATTAGCATATATTTACCAAGTAGCTACTATGGGCTCAGTTCTGTGGGAAATCAAAAGATTTTAACATGGTCCTTACCCTCCAGAAATGTACAACCTGATGGGGACGAAAAGATACAAACAACTAGTGCATTAAGTGACAAATATCTATAGAACTAACCTTGTGGCTCACTTATGGTCGTCATAGTATGCACTTTGAGGCTTATTTTTGCCTCTGATTTTACTTGTTTTTGTTTTTTTCTTTGGCCTTACTTTTTTTTTCTTTTTAAACACCTGACAACGTGATAAGTGTTTATATTCATAATCAATTTATTTTTTACAGTCACCCTAAGTAAGCAGTTCTATTATCATCTCCATTTTACAGATAAGAAAACTGAAGCTCAAAAAAGTTAAGGTGACAGAGCAAGTAGGTGTAAGACAGCTTGGATTTGAAGCCAGGTTTCCCTGACTTGGGCCACCGTGGCATCCTCTCTTCTTCCTTTCCCCTTTTAAGTTTCCGCTACTTTATCAAATGCAAAAAATCATCGCTGAAATAAGAATAGGGAATGAATAAATGAATAACATCCAGCTCTATTCCCTGTTTGATCCTCTCTACACATGCCCAGTGAATAATAAAATCGCATGTGGGGAATGAGGACGTGTTCCCTTCTGCTACTGTCAGGTTGGCGCTGTCAGAGTTCCTCTTCCTTTCCCTTAAGCTAAGAACAGGATCCAATACGTAGCTTACAGGGCCCTATGCAAAACGAAAATGTGGAGCCCCTTGTTCAAAAATTTTAATAATTTCAAGAGGTGCGAGCGCACCATTAAACGAGACACAGGGCCCTTCTAGGCACGGGAGGTGGGGAGGGCTCAACCACAGGCACGCTTCCCCCAGGAAGCAGGGCCCGGCTAAGCGTTGCTCTTTTTCCTAACCTCAGCCTCTGGCTTTGCAGATTCACAGCCCTGCTCTGATGAAGAAGGCTGCTCAGAAGTCTTCCTCCCCACCGACAGTGACTATGACTCCAGTGACGCCCTGAGCCCCCGAGACCTGGACCTGGTCTACCTGTCGTCGCACGACATCGCCCAGCAGGCCCTAAGCGGCCTAAGCGGCAGCGCCCCCGACGTCCTGCAGGTGCACGATGTGAAGACTCCGCGGGGGCCGGGCCAGGAGCCCCAGGGCCGGAGCCCAGGGCCCGATGCCGACCACTCGTGCGCCGAGTTCCTCCACAGCCTGAGCCTCACGGGCTTCTCCTCGAAGAACCACGCCAAGATGGCGCCGGGCGCGTGGCCGCCGCTGGGCTTCCTGGGAAAGCGGAAGCCGGCCAAGCACCAGCACTATGGTGGCTTCAGCCGCCACCACCGCTGGCTGCGCATGCACAGCGAGACGCAGTCGATGCTGCTGTCCGAGGGCGTTTACACGCAACGCCTGTCCCGGGCCTGTGGCCTGACCCAGGAGCCCAGGGAGGCCGAGCGGCTCGGACCTGCCGCTGATGGGCCGCGGGGCCTGGCTCTGGCCCACGCTGCAAGCCTCCCTGAGGAGCGGAAGAGCAGCCTCCAGGACCCGAGGCCTTCGATCCGCCGCATTTACGTGGAGCCGTACCCCGCGGCCCTGGTGGACGCAAAGCCCTGGGCCACCTTGAGCCCGCCCCCTGGAGGCCACTCTGGCCTGCCCAGCCCCACCGGCCCAGAGATGAGCCCGGAGGGTCCCACCGCCTCCCCAGTGTCAGAAATACTCAGCAGCATGCTTTAGGGAGGCCCACAACTGGCTGTCCATGTTCCACCGCAAGTCCCTGCATCCTCCATCACTCTACCCTCAGTTTGCCCCCAGGGTGTCCTCATCCATTTTCAAATGGTTTCAGTGTTAAAATTCCAAAGATTACAGGTTCAAGGCCCTCTTTTTTAGAGTCAGGGCGGAGGGGAGCCAGTGTCATTCCCAGTTCAGCCTACAAAGGGCACAGAGGAGCTTTTGTATCAACAAGAGTCCTGGACACAACGGCTCAAACATGCCACCCTGGTGGTGGCACTTGTGGCTGAGGTAGGGCACCCCAAGGAGCCACCCTCAGTTCTGCAGTTGGCTCTGTAATCTGACTTTTGGGTTTAGGGCTCTTGCATAAATTTATGATTAATGGGGAGGAGTTCTATAGATGAAAATAAGATTAGCATTGTTTTTCCCTCCATTCCAAACCTTTAGAAGAGTTTAGGGGAAAGAAGCCCAGGTTGTGTCTCTAGGGCACAGGGTCAAGTGGACTTGTCCTGAGTTCCCTGTCGGCTAAACCAAGTCATTCCAAAGTGCAAGGTTCTCAGCGGCTCACCAAATCCAATTTATCCATCAGCACTGGTCTGATTAAGTAGGCCTCAGACAGGATTTTTCTTCACTTAATGCTGTGTGGAAACCTCCAGAAACAAAAGTAGAGGATGCTTCTCCTCTAGCTCTGTCTTGCAAAGATAGAATAGAGCAGGAAACAGCCCTTCCTGCACACTCAGCTCCCATTCAAGCGTGAAAATGGGCCGTATATAATTCCAGGGTGCAAGGAGATGGCTGAGTTAAGTGAAAGCCAGGATTATAGAAAAGACTCAGACTAATTTTATGGTCCCTTCTAGCTCTAACACTCCATACACATAGAACTCACTTAGAACAGAAGAAAACTGCATTTTAAAATCCTCCCAGGCATGGAAAAGAAACTGCAGTGATTCTGATCGAGATTCTTTGGGAGGTTCATTGAGTATAAAATCTCTTAAAAAAATAAAGACAAACTTCCTTCCATGCCACCAGAAAGGTCATGATCAGAGAATCACTTGATTCCTTAGTTCTTGACAATTCCAGCATCTCATCTCACAAACTCACTCAATCTATATGATCTGTCTTAATAAGCAGAGTCTAGAGTCTTTGCATTTACAAATGAGGCAATTAAGGCCCAAAGAGGTTAAGTGACTTACTCAAGGTCACAGAGCTAGTTCAGTCTCAGAGTTAAGGTCAGAACCCAGAACCATTCCCTTTATAGCAGGCTGTCCCATTGAGAATTGGTACATACCTAGTCAACTTTTGATTGTCTATAAACTACTTACCTGGTTTGCAGATCATCTATCTACTCCTAATTCCCAATTCAACTCCTTTTCTCAACGTTTACTTAACAGATATCCAATATTACAGAGCTCTTTGTTGCCAGGAAATACAAATTTCATATAATAGACATCTAAGCTAAGTTAATTAATTAAAAAGCAAATTTGGGGACCAGCCTAGTGACGTAGTGGTTAAGGTCGTGTGCTCCCCTTTGGTAGCCCGGGGTTCACAGTTTCGGATCCCAGGCATGGACCTATGTACTGCTCATCAAGCCATGCTTGGTGGCATCCCACATACAAAATAGAGGAAGATGGGCACAAATGTTAGCTCAAGGCCAATCTTCCTCAGCAAAAAGAGGAAGATTGGCAACAGATGTTAGCTAAGGGGCAATCTTCCTCACCAAAAAAAAAAAAAAAAGCAAATTTGGACAGAAGTTATTTAAAATTGTATACCATAGGACTCCCCTTTAATAATAAAAATGGCAGAGTCATCTGCACTCAGTTTCTACTTATTTCTAATTATAAGACAGATCATATAGATTGAGTGAGTTTGTGAGACGAGATGCTGGAATTGTTAAGAACTAAGGAACCAAGTGATTCTCTGATCATGACCGCTCTGGTGGCATGGAAGGAAGTTTGTAACTGTGAATTAGATGGGAGGCATTCAACAGGCAGCAAAGCAGAGACTGACCCACCCTTCTGGCCCCTCATTTGGTCAGCAAGTTCTGGCACACTGGACCAAATAATGACTCATGAAGTAAAATTGCATTAAGTCCAAACCCACTAATTTATATTGGGGACAAAGGGTTGTTTTTCTCACCTTCTATGAGGAAAAGAGATGCATGCCCATGAAATGAATAACACACATTAGATTTCAATGGGCATACTTAATCAACTTGAAAATGCATTTTGCTAGCAATATTCCTACATAAAAGTGGACGTTATATCCTCCATAATTAGCTATTTGTTCAAGTATGTTCCCTACACCCGCACCTCCACTCTGAAACATCTTAAAAGCCTAGATTAAATTAATACATTCTTGTGAGAGACAATTGTGTTTTCTAATTCACAGTCCTTTATTCATTTGTCCAGTCTTCTCATTATAGAGACTTTACAATGGCTGAGGATTTTTTGTTTCTTTGTTTGTTTTGTTTAGTATTATTGGTTTTGTTTTGTTTTGGAAATGATGGATTTTTGTCTTTCATTCTTTTTAAGTCCAACCTGTGAGCCTCTGCAGGAAACTTTCCTGTCCCAGGTCTTCTTTTCCATGGTTTTTCTAACACGCTTAACTCTCACTTGTATTATCCAGCCCTCGTCATTTGTGAAAACCCTCAAAAATCATTGACCAAAGCCCTTCCCTATGTCTGTCTCTATTCTAAGTCTCACGGGGAACTAAAGAATCAAGTATGAAGCACATTACTGGGCCACAAGGAACTCACAGTCTGATATGAGGATAGCCCTTATCACCATACATCTTCACATCGATGTCTAAGAAGAGGCGGGAGCCTGTTTCCTCAGCCAGGCCGACATAGTGCGTGTTGGGCTAGGCATCTTGGTGTCTATTCATAAGGGAAGACAACTCAGAAAATGCAAGTCACAGATGTATATACTTGGCAACCATTTACAAGGCTATCACATCCTCTTAATTGGTAAGGGTACCTGGGAGAGAGTAATTGAAAACATCCACTCTAGTGAATGGGTATTTTAAGAAGTGGATACTTAAAGACGAGACCCATTCCGTTTTAAGAACATTCACTAATGCTCAAAGCAATAATTACACTGGAGAAAATGGTTCCATTTGGTTTGACAGTTGACGCCAGTTAGTAATAATATTCCTCTAGCCCCCATTCCTGAAGGATCCCAAAGCATTTTATGAAAAGCAATGACTGAAGCCTTATTGTACTCCACTAAAAAGACCTTGTGCGGGAGCCACCTGGCAAACACCTACCCTATCCTTGCCAGGAGATCATGCCAGACAAGTGGAAAAGAAGACTGGCCTCTCATTAATTGTTATCCTGCCACGCGAGCCGAGCGTGTGCCCTGGTGAGTGTTGAGCTCTTCCTTTGAAGACAACAATTTTAGACAAGGAGGCATACTAGAGAATCCCAACTCCTTGGCCTCCTCTTATTCTTCACGCTCCACCCAAGACGTACTCACTTTCTCTTGGAGAACTATCAACTCAAGCTGTTAAGGGGTCTGCAGTGCATTTAAGTTCCCTAGTTATGTCAACAGCACGTAGAATTCACTGGCTTCTTAAAATTGATACTTGTTGGAAAGATGATGCCATTATTCTACAGCTCTCTCAACTTTGTGTGTAGCAGAGCTACAACAGAGTGTGTATCTCTTGGTATATTTGTTTATTGAACTATAACATACCAGTTAGAGAGGGTAGTTATAGATTAACAAGAGAACACTCTCAGAGAATTGAAAGTGCTACATCGTCACTTTATAAAGTCTAAATATTTTTCCCAGTTGATTCAGTGAAGCAAATCTGAACTTTTTTTCCTGGTCACACTTTTAAGGAAATTTTTAAAGGAACTATTTGGAAAGCAATGATACCTCTTCACAAGTAGTAGGGTGAACAAGAAAAAAACTTGTTTCTTCACCAGTCACCTCTCATAAGATGTTCAAACACATGGCTTATGACTGTTAAGCTAAACTTCAATGCGGCCTTACAAACAACAAGGGTAGTGTATTTGAAACTATGTTGTACAGCTTGGAAACTTATGCTAAGATCTTAATTCAGAGTTTTTCTGAGGTGTTGAACTTTGCCATTAGCAAAAAGTATTTTTAGAAAAATCCATTGACTGTTTATGAAGTACTGATTTTGCCATATTTCAGGTCTCTGGTTTTTCCACCACATCTGCACACAGTAGTTATATTTGTTTTTTTTCAATTATTCCTTCTATTTCCATTAATAATAAATTTGTAAAATGGTTATTCAAAAGGACAGTTGGTTTTGTTTAGCAATCAGATAGGTAGTCTGTGAAAATATCCTATTTTGTTAGAAGAAGTAGCAGGTTTGTGTTGTTGTTTTAAATATTATCCTAGGGTCTTTCCCCTCCAGATGCATACATTTTCTATTTTAGCAAAAGCCAATATTTAACTTCGTGGCAAATGTTATGAAGCTATCAGTTAATGCTTTTTGCTCCTCTTCCTTCGGTCCGTGACATGAATGTGCTTTCACAGTAACCACCATCCAGTAGCTGATTTATAAAAACCAAGTCTGGCAAACTGTTGTGTTAAGTCACTCTGAGTTGCTGTGTTCCTTTTTGCCCTGTGACAAAACACATGTTTGGAGATATCCCATGTATATGGTCACAAGCATCAGTTTAATGTTTGTAATGGAAAAAAAGTTAAAGAAATGTGTGTGTGTGTGTGCACGCATGTAGTGGGGGAGGGATGTTTCATAGAAAAAAGTAACTTAAGTGACATTCTATTAGGCAGTGTTTAATTGCTTCCTGCCTAATGTGTACATGGTAATTTGGCTGATTATTAGTTGTTATTTGTTAGAATTTATTGTATCTTGTTGCTATGTATGCAACTGAGTGTATGTAAAAGTTTAGACTTCAGTACATTATCTGCACAATTTTGTGTGCGCTAAACATCTGTAAACGTACAGATGAATCATGTATGGTGTGTTAAATGTGACCTCCAATATTGAAATGATAATATTTTGTAGTATGTACTTTTGCAAACTATTTGAACATTTTAAATGGATATTGTAAATGGCCAGTACCATCAATCAAAAACAACACTGGTACAATGCATGTCTCTTCAACCTCCCAATTTATAAGAAGAGGTCAGGGGTTAACAAGAATTAAAATAATTTTTCTAATGGCAAGTATTTTTGATAATTTCCTACCTGCTTAATTGTATTTGAAAGAAAAAATTGTCAACAGAAGAAATCTTAGCTATCAGAGGGAATGACTTTGTTTCATAAGCATTAAATAGTACTAATATACTTTATATCTAACCTGATGTTGATGAAATCTAGTTCAAGAGTGAA